CTCTGGTACTTCCACGAGTCCAGTATTCGATGAGCGGTCGGCCGACGCGTTTCGAGACGAGGATAGACCCTTGTTGGAGGCACTCTTGAAGATGAAGACCGAACTTGAACGAGTACAAACCTCCATCAAAGCCCAAGGTGACGATGCTGCGAAGAGAATCGCTGAAGTTGAGAGACAGCGGGACGCGGCTGTCAGCGAAGCCATCTACGCTAAAACCAAGTTGGCTGCTCACGGAGGTGGTAGTCAGAATGGAACTCCACAGCCAGATGGGACTCGAAGCACAAACACACCCGACGCGGATCGCCTCCAAGATGTTAGTCGGCGACTAGCGATGTCTTTGGCGGCTCAAGGTGACCTGGCTACTAAAGTGGAGCATCTGACCCGTGAGATTGATGCCGAAAAGAAAGCAAAACAACTAGCGGAGGAGACCGCAGAAGCTGCGCAAAAACGTGTACAAGAACTGGACTCGACCCGACAAAAAGCTACAGCTGAATCAGAGAGTCTACGCGCCGAATTACACGAGGCTGAGCGTGTCGCAAGGGAAGTATCTACTAGCGCTGCAGAAGCAGAATCGGCATCGAAACTGTTGGCGATTGACAAACAAGAGCTGAGCGCCAAGGTTGCTAAGGTTTCCGAAGAGCACAAAGCTCAGTCTTCTATTATTCAGTCTCTACGCGATGCTGTCTTCGCGTCCACGGAGAAGTCAACCTTGCTGGAGAAGAAGCTCACTGAAGAGCGGGCTACGAGTGAAAACCTGCGCCAGAAGCTGGGTCAGCTTCGTAGCGAATATGAGGCACGCGTACTGGAGCTGGAGACTACTTCACAAAAGCTTCGTGATGCGGAGGAGTTGGCGGAGAGCCATGCAGAAGAGGCACGCCTTCATCGAGCCACCGTCTTCTCTGGTCTTCAAACGATTACAGAGCGCTCCGAGCAAGATGGTGCTAACCATGATGAGCGGGTTGTAGTACTGCAGCAGCAAGTCGAAGCTGCAAACTCCATGGCTCGCAAGAATCAGACAGCTGCTGACCAAGCATCGGAAAAGCTTCGCCGTGCTGAAGAACGAATCGCCGGTCTCGAGGCCTACCAAGAGCAATCCAGTCGCGAGGGGCTGACCATTCGTAAACAGTTACAGCAGGCTATGCGAGATGTACAGCTCTCCGAGGCTGAACGAACCGAACTCCGCCAGCAACACGAGCGTCTGCGCCTTGAGAGCAATGCGTTCGAAGTTCAGCTTAAGACACTTCGCAATCTTCTCGACGAAAGAGGTGTAAACCCTGTCGACTCACGACGCTCAAGGGTACTGGACAGTCCGAACTCAAGGTTCGGCACACCGGAGTTCAACCGAGTTCGCGAGCTGGAACAACAGGTAGACTCTATGACTAAAGCACATGAGGAAATGCGTTCTATGTTTGAGGAGCGTGAGCACGAGGTCAGCAAGGAGTGGGAAGAAAAACTCCAGGCACTTCACAACGATCACCAAGCTGCTGTCAAGTACCTCCGGGGTACCGAAAAGATGCTTTCGAAGATGAAACAGGAGCTCGATCGTTACAAGAGTGCAAATCTCAAGCTAGAGGAAGAACTCACCCAAGCGAAGCAAGACAAGCGTAGTCCTACTGATGAAGCCGATCAAGCTGAGTCGAACGCAGAACGCGCGGCACTTCGCTCTGAACTGGACAAGGCACGAGAGGAGATGGAAGCTACCGTTACACGTTTCGAGGCCCAATTGTCCAAACTGCAATCTGATCTGGCTTCTGCTCGCGCCGATGCCGAAACAGCAGCGAATGCTACAAAGCAGGCAGAGCATCAAGCAGCCCAGTTCCAGACAGATCTTGACGCGCTCCGTCGTCAGCATACACAGACGGAGGAACGTGCCCGCGAAGCTGAGAGTCGGGTCCAAATGTTCCTTGACCAGTTTGAGTCATCGGTCGATAATTACCGCCGCCAGTCCCAGGCACCAACCGAAAACACCCTTCCTGAACACAGCCGCCACCGTGCCCACGATAGCATCGCATCCGCTGAATCTCTTTACAGCCGCAATGACGGCTCTAGTACCCCAGAGGCCGTCCCCCGCCCTTCATCTTCTGCTACGCGTAACTCCATGGCTCTGGATAACCTTGCCTCTGAGCTGGACGCTCTCAGGAGTCACTGGGAAACTACCAACAAAGCCTACCGTTTGAGTGATCGCTTTGATTTCGAACGCATGCCCGACAATGATAACACGGATCTGAATGAACTCTCGCAATGGAGGAACAAGGTGGAGAGCGAGGATGGGTTCCAGGCCGCGGCAGGTAGTCACGATGCAAAGTCCGCACAGCCGGCTGCTACCATGGCCTTGCCAACACAGCTCCACGGATCTTCATAAAGGTGCATACGAGCCTTGAACCGCTTTTCTGCTGCTTAATGGATTGGACACGTGTTCAGCGATTTGTAAGGCGTAATCTGGTTTCTAATTTCTCTTCATTATGGTACCATCATTTTCTGATGGGGTTTCGTTTTATACCATTTGTTACTACTGCAAGAGGATCTATGACTGAAGACTTTTGAACTTTCTGCGTCTTGTTGCAGTTTCTGGCAGTCGTTTGACGTTGCTCGTCTTTCGCACGGGTCATATAGCAGTCGGCATGTCATGTCAGGGGAGTTTTTAAGATTCGAGAACAATCACAGGCAAATGTAGGACATCAACACACATTAATGTATACGGATCAATTTATCAAGCAGTGGATACTACACATGCAAATCTGAGTTGTTGCTGCTGAACATTAGGAGCTATTGCATCGATAAGCCACACCTTTTGGGAATAAGTGAAGGTGAAGGCGGCTCGAAACTACTAGCGGGTGAACCTTCTCGCTCCCCACCTGGTACAATAGAAACGACTGAATCTGATTCGCCGCATTTGTCTAAACAATACAGAAAAATGAGAGTTGCGAGACCTTTCCAGCTTTTAATAGGGTCATCTGCAGCGAAGAGTTGCGCGCTATTGTCGTACGTCTCGACAATGGGAGTATGATATGCTTGGGCAGCACATGGACCCAGTACAACGTCTTGACAGCTTCTATTCTTTTCCTCTTAACAATCTACTTTCTACTCATCAATTCGGTCGTCGTCCAACTTCTCTCTTCTCTTAACTTTGCTTGCTTCTGACGCTGGTCGTCACTGAACACTTTATCCTTCCATTCTACATTATCATCGGTCTGGTACCACTCTTTTCAAGCAACAATGTCTTCATCCCATGCTCCAAACTCTCCCGCTCGGTCAGAGAACTCAGATTGGCACATTGATGTAAACGACGCCTTCGCAAACCTTCCCACGCTACCTGTTGAAGGCCTTGGAGAGCACGACGACATCAGTACTCCTTCGCTCTATGCCCCATACTCACCTGTTCTATCCGAGAGCTCGCCATCATACATTGGTGTACGCGACGTGTTTGCAGATCTCCCTGAGTCATCTGTCGACAACTCTGTTCAGCATAATGATGCCGGTCATCATGAACACGCCGACGATCACGACAGCTACAGTGACGTACGTGACGCCTTTGCAACGGTTCCTGCAATACCCGACAACGACCTTGAACACGACAGTTTTGGCCATATCGACTTTGGACACGACGACTTTGACGGCCACCACAACAATGCCGACTATATTCCTGATGACTTCGATCAGGTTTTGGGGCTTGCACTCGGTCCAACGCAAGACCGTAACGAGGCTTCAGCGACTATGTTCAATGACTTTGCCGCAAAGCTCAACGATGAATACCCGATGCCAGGTAACGACGACTCTGACAGCGAGGACGACCCTCAGATTGTCGCTGCACGCATACTGTCGGGGGCACTCAGTCCAGGTCAACAGGCTGGGGCCATTGGCCGCATGTCTGAGCTCGACATGGACAAGATGTACCATGACCTGATGCATTCCCACGGGTTTCGTCCGGTGTCCTCCTCTGCTCCAACCGCCACTCTGCTCGATGATGTAGCCGCCGTGCCATCCAACATGCCATCTGGAACTCCATCTGCCATCCCTGTTACCGGTCCAACCACCATTCCATCCGAGACCCTCAACGAGAACAACTACACCCCCATCGCTTGGGAGCCTCAGCCGGATGTAGATCCTAACGCTCCTCCACCCCCTCAACCGATCTATCCAGCATACACCGGACAGTTCCAGTCTGGCCCAGCTGCTAGAGCATACCGGAAGCGCAACCGCATAGCACCCAAGTCTCTCGCATCGGATGTCGAGCGTGTCAAGCGTTATGGACGTAAGTAGCAGGAGAATCACAAGCTTCCCAACATGAACTGATTGAATTTGCTTTCTAGGCATGTACTGGGTACGCCGCATCTACGAGTCTATGATCGACATCTCCAACGTCAGTGACAGCGCAAACTCCATCCACCGAACGCGGTTCATGGTAGAACAAGCATTCAATCCCTTGGATCTGGAAGCCGCAGCACACCATGTATTCGATGAAGCCTTGGCTGTGCACGAGCGGGGCTGGGTCCGACCTACCATCTACCACAAAAAGGTGGTACGTGGCAAACTCACAGACGTCAGCGAGAAGTGCTTGGAGAGGCGGCTGGCTCGCATCTGTCTTTGTCTCCAGCAGAAGAAGGCGACGGTTGATGACGCTCTCCGTGGAGGTGTGACTCTTGCGCTTCTGTGCGATAACCCTGAGGCGAGGGGCTTTACTAAGCTTTCCAACAACGCCGGTAACGCAAAGCGTGGAGAGCGACTGAGAGCCGCAAAGGAGGCGGAAGCGGGGGCGGAAGCGGGGGCGGAGGCGGAAGAATCTGAGGAGGAAGAGGCATGAGTGTTCTTGATGATGGAGGCGAATGATGACGGGTTGGGAACGAGAGACTGGCCTTGGCTGGATGCCAGATCTTCACTGCTGTTCGATACTCATTCCTTTTAGAGCTTTGTGCTTTTTCGCTTTGGCGGCTGGCCCGCGCAAGTATGAAGCTTTTATACCAGTTCAATGTCAACTGTCATGTCACCTACTATCTCCAAGTTCAGTAAAACTTGACTCCGCCCACGCTCTCCACCTGTTGTTTAGTGAAGTTACGCTTTGCTGTTTCCTGTTGGTCCTTGTCCGGCGTATTGGCGACATCTTGCATAGCAGCATCTCTCAGGGCCTTTCTCTTCTTTTTACTCTGGAAGAGAGCCTCCTCGTTCTGGATATCTTTGAGAACTAAGACATGTCAGCTTTCAACACATCTTTAGTATTCGTGTCTCAGAGTGCAGACTTACCCTCCGCCCATTCTCTCTCATCTGCTGCGTCGCCCGTCCCCAAAGCTGCTTCAACCGAGACGTCTTCGCCTCGTTGTACACGCTCAATAACTTCTCTCAATACACCAATCTTAGCCTCGGCTCTGCGAAGGTTGTGTGTTCTCTCCTGCTTCAACCATAGTATCTGAATGGCCTGGCTGCCGACGAGCAGTCCAAGAATGATGTATGGGGTAGCGGGGTTCCACTCTTTGCGCCTAGGTTGCTCGGAGCGGGTCTTGAGTGGCTTGGGTATCATGGAGGCCCAGAAGCTCGGCTGGATGATGCGGGGGATAGACATGAAGCGTGAATGCGGCAGCGGGGGTGCGAGCATGGCGAAAGCGCGCGCATGTGGACGCGTAGGCGCGATTAGAGCAGTGCGATGTACTACCGGCATGCGTAGTAGCTGACGGAAGAGACTGGACGAGTCCATGATTAGACGTTGCTTCAACAGGCGGGCTTGAGGCGCGTGGGATGGAACTTTTGGTCTTATTGCTCTCCGGGGATATTTTCTGATTTCTGATACAGTGGCTCAAACAAGTTAGCGCTGCTGGAGATGCCGAGGTCCTAATGCATCGCGCATACTTGCTTGATCCGTACAATGAATGATCCTCTACATTGACAAGACTCGAAGATGGGCAGTCTTGCACGGAAGCACAGCGCGAAGATTGCAGAGAGCGGAGGCGATGATGACCTGTCACCGTTTCAAAAAGTCCAACACTGGGTTGGTGACCGCCGTGGATACTTTGCAGTAACACCCAGACTAACACGAAGCATTAGTTCGACGCAATCAGCTCCAGCGACTACGATGCAGGTTGTCTTTCAAAACCGATGATGCGGCTCTGATATTTTGCATAGGGCCACGATGCTATCCTTGGGCGAATCCTCAAGCTCGAATCAGTGACGTTTGCGCCAACCAGCAGCAATCCTCACAACTCGCGCAATGTTATAAGCTTCACTGTGCCCAGACAGTTGTGCAACTCGACTGGCATGCTTCATGGCGGCGCCGTGGCCTTGATCTTTGACATTACGACGTCAATGGCCATTACGCCGTGTATGCGCGACGGATTCTGGGATAGTGGGCATGTCTCACGTACCCGGTATGGTGATTCTGCAAGAAGACTTGAGACATGATTGCTAATGCTTTGGCAGTAAGTGCAACCTTGTAGATAGTGTCGGCGTGCCGATGACTTGATTGACGCATTTGAAGTGAACACGACCTACCTGAGGCCAGCGGCTGAAGGTACCAAAGTCTTCGTTGAGAGCTGGGTCGAGCATCTTGGGAAGCGACTGGGTCAGACGAGGGGTTTGATGAGGCTGGAATCTGAAGACGGCAAAGTGTGCTATACCTGCGAACATGGGAAAGTGAGCCTGGGTAGTGCTGGTCTGTAATTGTAGTTGATGTTGTGAAGGAATGGGCGTCTCGCGACTAGTGGACCCTGTATGTCATAGCCAACCCAGCGCCAATGCATAGCTGCCATGAGCATGCGGCTTCCTACTACTACACCCGCGACTTCAACTCGACCCACCCCCGCACACAACCAAGCATTGCGCCAATGGACCTTGGAGATGAAGAGAGCTCCCCGTGGGGAGGTGCGTGTCTACTGTCTTGTCGACGATACTGCGCAAAGCTGACAGGCTTCCAGATGTGCCCTCACGGTCGAGCCCTGCGCCGAGTGCGTCCAAGGTAGAGCAGAACGACACGCTCGACACCGACTCTCCCGCGCCCTCCACCAAGCCGTCTGCAGACCCGGCCCCTACTGCTGCCTCTGCTCCGCGCTCACCCGCTGGACGCGGTCCCCGACGGCGGCAGTATGGCCTGCAGTCCACCAAACTCGAGGCTGTCGATGATCCCCTGGGCCCTCTAGGCGCTCCCTCGCCGACGACAGGCACCGAGATTGCCCCTCCAGCGCCGCCTCAGAAAGAAGCCGCTGCGTCGCGCAACACTCGTCCCGCGCCGGGCGGCGCCTCTACGCCTTCGCTACGCGGCATGATGGATTCCGTCGACCTCGATGACGACAACGACGAGCAGCAGCCCTCCTCTCAAGCCAGAATACCGCCTCCAGTCCAGGCGCCGTCTTCCACCGCACCTCAGCGCCAGACACAGCCGAGCGTCAGCGTTGAGCAGGCCGCTAAGCCGTCCTTTGCCATCTCTGTAGGCGACCCTCACAAAGTCGGTGACCTCACGAGCTCGCACACAGAATACGCCGTCACTACCAAGACGACTTCCAAGGGCTACCGCAAACCCGAATTCACCGTCTCGCGCCGTTACCGTGATTTCCTCTGGTTATACACACAACTGCACAACAACAACCCCGGAGTTATTATTCCTCCGCCGCCAGAGAAGCAGGCTGTTGGTCGCTTTGAAGCTGATTTTGTCGAGTCACGACGCTCTGCTCTGGAGCGCATGCTTAACAAGGCCGCTGCTCATCCAGTGTTGCAACATGACAGTGACTTGAAGCTGTTCCTTGAAAGCGAAGCCTTCAGCATGGACATCAAGAACAAGGAGCGCAAAGACCCCGGTCTCACTGAGAGCAAAGGCATGTTTGGCTCCATGCTCTCTGGTAGCAGTGGTAAATTCGTGGAACACGATGACGTACGTATATTAGTTTCTGTAACAGATCAATTCGCTAACGGTGTTGCAGTGGTTCCATGACCGTCGAATCTATCTCGATGCTCTTGAAGCGCAGCTAAAGGCTCTTCTCAAAGCTACAGATGCTGTAGTCACACAACGGAAAGGTCTAGCCGAGGCTTGTGGAGACTTCTCGGCTTCTCTACATTCTCTATCCGCTGTTGAGTTATCGCCATCTTTGTCCGCGCCGCTTGATAGTCTGTCCGACATTCAGATTCGCATTCGTGAGCTTTACGAGCGTCAGGCCCAGCAAGACATACTCACCATGGGCATCGTAATAGACGAGTACATTCGTTTGATAGGTTCCGTAAAGACCGCGTTCCAGCAGCGACAGAAGGCCTATCATTCCTGGCATTCTGCTGAGCAGGAGTTACAGAAGCGGAAAACGAATCAGGACAAGCTTTTGAGGCAAGGCAGATCGCAGCAAGATCGTCTGAACCAACTCAGCGCCGATGTTGCAGACGCTGAGCGAAAAGTTCATCAAGCAAGGTTGCTCTTCGATGACATGGGTCGGCTGATGCGTAGCGAACTAGAACGTTTTGAGAGGGAGAAGGTCGAAGACTTCAAGTCAGGCGTCGAAACGTTCCTGGAAAGTGCTGTAGAAGCACAAAAAGAGGCAAGTTCATCTATCGCATCAAACCCTATGGCTTACTAACTTGCGTGTTAGCTCATCGAGATCTGGGAAACTTTCCTGATGCAGCTAGATACGGACGAAGGCGATACTTTCGTCCCTCCTGCAGGTGTCGTCGCTTCTGCAAATGCCGACCAGACAACAAGTCACGATTCTGCCAACAATCAAGACTCAGAAAGACGAGAAGTAGGTAACGAAGGTGTGTCAGAAAACCAAGACTAGAGAACTTAATTGAACACCGAGCGGTTCAATTTGTGGCAAGCATGGGAGCGTTGCAAGGATTACCGCTTACGTGAACGGGACTATAAAAGCCCGATTCTGGTATCTACTGCACGAGGTAGAAATGCTTGCTAAATTGTGTCAAGTGAGCCGCATGTGGGTCACTAGGCAGCTTGTAGCGTGGCATTTCCCCATTTGGAATTGGTACGATCATTGCAAATACTCTGACTAGTATTGAACTGCCTGATGGCTGTTGGTGATGTATCATTATGCTTTGACTTCGTTCACTTACAATTGAAAACTGAACCGGTTCGCTCTTGGTCGTTTTACGTTCTTTTGCACCCCTCGTAACAACATGCTTTAAGACATAGCTATAAGCATGCGATCACCAGCTCCAGTTTTATGCTTCCTTCTGCGTGACGTTGCATGTCGGCTCAGGCGCGGGGTTGAGAGAACACTGTGGCCAAGTAGGCGCCGGCAAAAGAGGCGGTTCGCAGCCGGCTAATTCGTTGCGGGCAATCGCCTACATCTCTCGTCGTTCAAAAGCCGCATATATAGCTGATCAATCGTGCAAAGAGTGTCGCAACCTAAAACTGAGAAAGAAAAGTCTGTAGCCATCATGCCGTTGGTTCGTAATCCTATTCTTCCAGGCTTCAACGCGGATCCCTCCGTTCTACGTGTTGGCAATGACGGTAAGACATCGCAATGTTCTGCTTGGGTAGTGTAAGCTAATTGGACGACATAGTGAGTTTTACAGTCTTTACATTTTGTTCCGTTTTATAGCCACGGTGCCATGAGAGTCATGGTATGGGCTATTCTGATACGATTAAAGAACAATCCAACTTTGTATATCGAGACTACCATGTGACATCAACTGACAACGTCAAACTAGTATTATATTGCAACGTCCACGTTCGAGTGGTATCCAGGAGTACAGATCCATCACTCGACAGATCTCGCCAACTGGGAGCTCCTATGCCGCCCTTTGAATAGGAAAAGCCAACTGGACATGCGCGGTGATCCCGATAGTTGCGGTACGTACTCGATCAAGATTGACTGTAATTGCGCATTGTTGTAACGAATCTTCAAGGGGTGTGGGCGCCTTGTCTTACACATGACGGTGACAAGTTTTGGCTGGTGTATACCGACGTAAAACGCAAAGATGGCTCATTCAAAGATACGCCCAATTACATTGTCACTGCTGATCGCATCGAGGGTCCGTGGTCTGACCCTGTTTACATCAACTCCTCAGGATTTGACCCGTCCCTATTTCACGATGACGATGGCACGAAATGGTTCGTGAACATGCTACAAGACCATCGAAGGCGTCCGCGGTTCTTCGCTGTTAGTATATAATTATCATGGTCAATCGATATGACAGACGCTGACCTCGTGTATCTCTATTCAGGGCATCAGGCTACAGCAATACGATGCTGAAGCGAAAAAGCTTGTCGGCCCGTGCAAGACCATCTTCCCCGGTACTGATCTGGCTCTTGTAGAAGGCCCACATCTACACAAGCGGAACGGATGGTACTACTTGTTGACTGCTGAAGGTGGCACAGCATACGAGCACGCCTGCACTTTGGCGCGATCCCGGGATATCTGGGGCCCATACGAACTTCATCCTCAAAAGTACATACTTACTTCCAAAGACGCACCACTGGCATCTCTGCAAAGAGCTGGTCATGGAGATATAGTCGACACCCCAGAAGGCAAGACATACCTCGTTCATTTGACCGGTCGCCCAACTACCCAGGCCCGCCGCTGCGTTCTTGGACGCGAGACAGCGATTCAAGAGGCTTACTGGGACAAGGATGACTGGCTGTATGTCAAGAATGGACCTGTTCCGTCTCTCCATGTCGAACTGCCAGCACAGCGCGACGACAGCTCCTATTGGTCTGAGCAGCGCTACCTTTTCGACAGCAGCGACGGTATCCACAAGGATTTCCAATGGCTCCGTACACCAGAACCAGAACGTATCTTTAGTACTAAAAATGGTCTGCACCTCGTTGGACGCGAGGCGATCGGATCCTGGTTTGAGCAAGCTCTTGTTGCACGTCGCCAAACGCATTTCTCGTACGACGCCGAAACAGTCGTTAGCTTCAGTCCAGACGACGAACGCACTTATGCAGGCCTGACTGCTTACTATTGTCGATTCAACTTCTTTTACCTGACCGTTACTGCCGACTCTGACGGTCAGCGCGAACTCCTCATCTTAAGCTCGGAAGCTTCATGGCCGGATGGAAATCTGAAACTCCCCCTCGCAGATCCGGTGCCGCTGCCGCAAGAGGGCAAAGTTAGATTGGCGCTGAGCATTCGGGGTAAAGAGCTCCAATTTCGCTACGCTCTGGAGGGACAGGCGGACCTGACAGACATTGGACCTGTCTACGATGCTTCGATCTTGAGTGATGAGTGTGGCGGTCATCAAGCGTTAGTTCATTGTCCCCTCTAGCCACACTACATGCGTATGCTGACTTTGCGAAAACAGACACGGGAGCTTTACTGGCGCATTTGTGGGCATGGCAGCATCTGATATCAATGGCACAGAAAAGGTAGCGTCATTTGATTACTTTCTATACACGCCCGTAAAGCATAGTACAGACCGCTACGATATGTGATAAGACAGTATGTCTCGGTTCACATCACGGCGTAGTATAGTCATATTAAATATCGAGAATGGTCTGCTTGACATTGTGCACGCACAAGTCCGTAATCTCATCACAATTGTGTGCCTGCAGCTTGGCTGAGGCATCCATTGCAAGAGGGCGTGGATACGAGTTAGACACAATGTGATAACGGGTAGTGTTGATACAAGATCGCGGCTCCAAGTGTTTCAGACCAGCATCCGTAGCGCCCCACTCCTTCTAGTTTGAACTGTTGGAAAACCGTAACATGACTCGCGCAGTACTTGATGTTACACCAGCGAGAGATAGGGCTTGAAGTGGGGCCTTTTCGACGTACGGACTTGACTTGTTGTACCAAGTGCAGGCACGATATGTCGGACTCTTGCAATTCAAGGCTGAACAGCAATTTTAGCCTGATACGGCTGTCGTTCATATGTCTGTGTCGCAGATATCTGTGTTCTGACCCCTACGTCTCAGCATCGTTTCAAAGCATGGCCATGGTAGACTACATAGAGGTAGACTCGAACCTCAACTTTTCAAAGGCCATCAAATTCATTCTGAATCCGAACAAACCAAGCTGAACCCAGCTTCTTCGTTCCGTCCCCCTGGTCTCGTCATATACGCAGACGCTTCCCAATAGCACTATCCCGACCACAGAGCCAGCACAGGATGTGGGCACCGAACCGCGTACACCCAGGTGCTAAACGCACTTCATCAGTCCATTCGATCGTATCTTTACAATCAGGGAGCCGCCCCGTATCGATGAGTTCGCCTCAGATGCAGAGACAATCGAGGAGCTATGAATCGGACAACTACTCTGACCTAGGTTCAGAAGACGAACAGCCGTACACCCGAGGTCCACAAAACACCTCAATGTCAGCTATGTCGCAAATGCAACGACAGCAACCTAACTCCACAGCGAACCTGGTCCCTCAAAAAGTAGGAAACGACGTTAGCTATGCTGCCCCCACAAACAGACCGCAATATCAAGACCAGAGAACTTTTGTTGAGCGACCAGTGGACGACGATGCGACTTCGCGGTCCTCTACGCTGGATGGCAACGAAGAGGATGTCCCGTATCCACTGAAAAAGTCATTGGCGCATTCTGCCATCAAAATGAGCCTCACAGGACAGGAACCGGCATCTCCAGCACCCGCACCGCACATTCCCGGCCCTCTAGAGTCGCAGCTTGCTGCCTTGATGTCCAAGCTTGTCTATATCGAACAAGCGAACCCTATCATAACGGTCAAGCCTGAGGAATATGAGCAGACGATGGCGCGTTTGAAAGCGCTGGAAGAGGAAAAGAAGCTGTGGTGGAAGCGACACGAGGCCATCTGGAGCCTTCGAGACGAAGACGTGGAGAACAACATCAAGATTCGCGTAAGTGCAAGAGACAATGAGTTGGCGAAGGTCGTGTGCTAATATGGTGCAGGGATTGTTAGCTAGCTGTCGACGCGAACTAGACGCGACCAAAGCATTACGCGATGAAGATCTTCTAAACGTACAGATTGTACGGAGCAAGCTTGCGGAAAAGACCAGAGAAGTGGAGCGACTGCATGCACAGACCGGACGTAGCAGCCCGAGCCGAGGGCGTCCAGGCAGTTTTCTCGAACGGCGCGATACAACAGATCTATTCACTGCGGCCAAGGTGGCAGCTCTTGAGCAACGAGCTCTCGAACTAGAAAAGAGAAACTCGGACCTTGTCGCGCAGTTGGCAACGTCGGGAGGTGGTAGCATCGATGACCTGAACCGGGCAACAGCTCACCAGGCATGGAAAGGGACAGTTGCCGATCTGGAATCAAAGATCAAGGCCAAGGATGCTGAGATCTCGCGTCTAAGGGGCCAGGGTGCTTCTGCGGGAAGCGGGCAGATGGACTGGTACCGGATTGAAGCGCTACTGGAGGAACATTCAAGCTACCGTGAGAGCATCGGAGGCAAGCTGCAGGCTCTCCGGTCAGAAAAGGAGGGACTCATGAGAGATCTACACCGCAAGGAGAACGAGTGCCAAGTGTTGGAGCTCAAAGTGCAGACGCTGCAGAGACGCGCAAACGTAGTGTGATGGAGGCGGTATAATGCCAGGATTGAGTTTGTTGCCGAATACCCATGAATGAATATTTTTTTGTTTGTTTGAATGCATTGCGGAGCCGGAAAGCCTAGGTGCGTCAGCGTGCATGTGTGGAGACGGTGAGGCGGCTCTGAATGGTGGCTGACGTGGCTGGTGTAGTCAAAGCTTAGCTCGCTTCCTTGCTTGGTACCTGGCAAACATCGTCATATCATTCCATAGCCGTCGAGCGCATCCTGCTTTGGGCTGTCCCCACAGCGTACGGCAGGCTCAATCCGGACAATGACATCGTTTGTTGCTTCGCGCAGTCTTTTAAAGCCGATGATGTCTCCCTACTTTCTCAGGTACGGCTTGCGATCTAGCCTTCATCGTCCACCATGCAGTCGGCTCTCGTGTCTCTCCTCGCAGTTGCTAATGCGGCCACCGCACAGGCGGCCTATTCATTCGACCCCTTGCAGCATCTTGCCGGCATTGCCCCTTACTTCGAAGATCCGCGCCTTGACCCGAAGCCACCTCAGGGTTGCAACGTGACGCGCGCTTCGTACCTCATCCGTCATGCCGCCATCTACGCCAATGACTTTGATTTTGAGGAATACATTGAGCCCTTCACAGACAAGCTGAAGAACACGACAGCGAACTGGCGAAGTGCTGGACCCCTATCCTTCCTTTCTAAGTGGGAGACACCCATAAGCGATGAAGAGCTAGAAGACCTCACTTCCGTCGGCAGGCTTGAATCCTACAAGCTGGGTGTCGACGTCCGTCTGCGCTATCCCACCTTCAAGGACCCTGAGCGTGTATGGACATCAACTGCTGAGAGGACCGAGCTCAGTGCATCTTCATTCATTGACGGCCTCGTGGCTGAGAGCAACAACACCAAACGCGTTTCCGTGCGCGAAGATGCTGCTCGGGGCGCGGATTCTCTGACACCCTACAAGGGTTGCCCCAAGTACAGCTCTTCCTACGGTAGTGACCAGTCATCTGTACGTATCCCGAGTGACAGAAGATGACCACGACTAACACTCCTGTAGCAATACCAAGAAACGTACACCAAGCCCATCGTCGATCGTCTGAATGCGTATGCCCCTGCCTTCAACTTCACCGCCGATGATGTTGTGGGCATGCAGCAGCTGTGCGGATACGAGACTGTCATCCGTGGCTCTTCCCCATTCTGTTCTCTCGACCTCTTCTCCCAGGACGAGTGGCTCTCCTTCGAGTACATGAATGATATCATGTATTTTTACAACACCGGTTATGGAAGCACGCAGCTGTCGGGCGCCCTTGGCCTTCCTTGGCTCAACGCTTCCGCCGTCGAAATGCTCTCCGACGAGGCCGACCAGGATCTCTACGTCTCCTTCACGCATCGCGAGTTGCCTCCTACCGTCGTAGTCGCTATGGGCCTGTACAACAATTCTGCCTATTCCGGATCGAACGACCCTAACGCCACGATGCCGCTCGACAGGCCCAACCACTCGAGAGCATGGAGGTCATCAAGAATTCTACCTTTCTTGTCCAACATTGCCATTGAGAAGATGACTTGCGACAGCTACGGATTCTCTGCCGACGAGTATTTCCGAGTTCTGGTTAACAAGGATCCACAACCGCTGTCTTGTGCTGACGGCCCAGGAGAGAGCTGTTCCAAGAGCGCGTTCCAGGATTTCATTCAAGAAAGAGCCGCACTTTTTGGCGGATATACTGAGGAGTGCCAACCGGAGTACTCAAACTCTACTGACATTCTTACTTTGTATAATTAAGACGACGCTTAGTGTCGCGATGATATAATACCATTTTTGTAATATGCCAATCATCGTTCCCGCATGATCCGTTCAGTGAAAAATGACGCTAGTGGGCTCGGCGATCGCGGGCACTTGTTAAAACGTTGACGATCATCATGAACTGGATAACGCTCAATATCACACCACTGGATGGTTGAGTAGTTGATTGTTTCTAATGGTGCCAAGTCTTGGGGCAGATCCATATTCCGCCGCCTTCCGCTCTACTGTAGTGTTGGCGCGAGTCGCAATATCTGATGTGTCGAGCTACACCCGCGTGGCTTGACAGCTACAACATCGTATGCAGGGGCGGAGGAGCACCTGGAACAATGCACATGTTGATGTTCGAACAGCAAGACGCGTTCACGTGCGAAACACATGTGCCGATGCGACTCAACAAGTGTTCAAGGTGCACCTAGCCCTATTGATTTTTGTAGACGTCATGACTAGCAGTCTTGGGTGCACTGATCCAGGAATACCCGAGTGTGGCGCGCTACAACGCGTCTTCTTTACAACGCTCATCGCAATTGTGCCGCTTCTCATACATTTACCAGTCTACCAAATGGGGGACCATATCGAGAACAAGGGCACGCGCCCTAGTGCGATCGTTGTCGGTGCTGGTGCCGGAGGTGTCGCGACTGCAGCGCGACTTGCAGCATCAGGCTACAAGGTTACTGTAGTCGAGAAGAACGACTTCTCTGGCGGGAGATGCAGTTTGATACATCGCAACGGATATGTGAGTTGACAAGTGTGCGGTGCATCGCACCCCATCGCTAATCGCTACGCAGAGGTTCGATCAAGGCCCGAGCTTGTTGCTGCTTCCTCGATTCTTCCATGAGACATTCGAGGATCTTGGGACCTCACTCGATGCCGAGGGCGTCAAGCTGGTCAAGTGTGAACCGAATTACAACGTTCATTTCCACGATGACACTACGTTCAAGCTCTCAACCGACATCTCCATCATGAAGGGTGAAATCGAGCGTTTTGAAGGAAAAGACGGCTTCGAGCGATACCTTGGTTTCCTGCAAGAATCGCATCGCCACTATGAAGTTTCCATCATCCATGTGCTGAAGAAGAATTTCTACTCGTTACTGAGCATGGTTCGCTTCGATTTCTTGTTGCATCTCTTCGAGCTACATCCGTTCGAGAGTATCTACTACCGAGCGAGCAAGTACTTCTGGACAGAGAGGTTGCGAAGAGTCTTCACATTTGCAAGCATGTATATGGGTATGAGTCCATTTGATGCCCCGGGAACCTACAGTCTGTTGCAATACACGGAGTTGGCTGAGGGTATTTGGTATCCCATTGGCGGGTTCCACAAAGTCAGTATATTCCAACGTGGGAACTTCTCTCGCTAACCTGATCAGGTGGTGGAATCTCTTGTCAACGTCGGTGAGCGCTTGGGCGTTGAGTTTAGGTTCGATAGTCCGATCCGCAACATACAGCTTTCAGATGATGGGAAGCGTGCCACAGGCGTTGTCTTTGAGGACAACACCAAGGAACCGCTAACCGCCGATGTTGTTGTTTGCAACGCAGATCTGGCATATGCATACAATCAACTTCTTCCCTCTTCCTCATTCGGGCGATCCCTCTTGAAAAAAGAGGCTTCTTGCTCCAGCATATCCTTCTACTGGGCACTGGACCGACAATTTCCTGAACTAAGCGCCCACAACATCTTTCTCGCCGAAGACTACAAGGAAAGTTTTGATAGCATCTTCAAGAAGCACCTGATACCAGATCAACCCAGCTTTTACGTCAATGTCCCGTCCCGCGTCGACCCTTCTGCGGCGCCAGAGGGGTGTGATTCTATCGTCATCTTGGTACCGGTTGGGCACTTGGAAGTCGATTCGACGAACTCGCACAAGGGCTCCAAGCACACGAAAGGCCTGACTCAAGATTGGGACTCTATGGTAGCATCAGCGCGCGAAACTGTCATCAAAACCATGGAAGCACGACTCAACATTTCACTTGGTCCCCACATCATTGAAGAAACCATCAATACGCCGCCTAGATGGAAGTCCTCATTCAACCTCGACCGTGGCGCTATCTTGGGACTGAGCCACTCCTTCTTTAACGTGCTCAGTTTCAGGCCGAAGACCAAGCATCGCAGCATCGAAGATCTGTACTTTGTCGGTGCAAGCACTCACCCAGGTACTGGAGTTCCTATTGTGCTCGCTGGTGCCAAACTGGTTACTGAACAAATACTCTACGACCGGCAGCAAGAGAGTCGCATTCCGTGGCGCCCACTAGGCACCAAAGAAACCAAGGCGTCGCCAGGTCCTCTGGATCGGACACAAAACGGACCATATCTCAGTTGGCTCGTTTGGATACTGTTGAGCATCTTCCTCGTGTTTACGACTGTACCTGGTGCTTTGTACTATCAAAATCAAAAGGCTGGCAACGGGTTGATGGGCGATTGGTAATGTGCTGGTGCACAGTTTGCTGAGGTATGGGCTTTTAATGCATCATACCACCTTAACTGTATCTACATAGTTCAATACCCACTTTTTATCGTCAGCCTAGCATGGATCATGATTGTAGACGGCTATTGTCAAAGGAACGTAGACGGCGAATATTAGATGTGTTTCCATCATTGTTCAAACATGATGATGAAAAAGAGGAAGGATTTATTATGCTACTATCAGAGAGGGTATCCCACGCTTAATCGTAATCACAATCTGCGCCACACCCAATAAACTATCATTACCACATTACAACTTTCACCGTACCTGCGGTACATCTTCCCCGTTCATGAGAGATCATCTTTTAAGCAAAACTCAAACCTCGGTCTAAACAGTGTTGTCGACATGAGGAGCAGTGCCGTTGTAGCCATCGGGGTGGGTAGCGGTCTGTCCGTTGTTCACGGCATCAGGCTTGCGCTTCTCGTGAACCATGGCATCACCATCGTAGTCCTTGATAGAGAGGCCGAGACGGGCCGGGTCGATGTCCTTGTGGCCCCACAGGAGGAGGGCACCGAAGCATGGCTTGGCTAGGAAGTCAAGTACACCGTAGAAAACAGCTTCACTGTCAGGGGCAATGACGTTACTATTCTGATGTTAGCCACTGTATGGTTATATAACATTCGGATCTGAGTGTGACTTACCCGCCCTCGGCGACTCCCCATGCGATTGGGTACAGGATCCAAAGCAGAGCGGTCATACTTCCGCACATCATGAACGCCTTCTCAACATCGCGGCCGAATGCCTTGGCGTGGATGCGCGACTCCCAGACTAGTTGGTAGACGATGTAGAAAAGAGCAAAGCAGCCTACGTATTGTTAGAAAAGATCTAGCAGGATACTCGGAGACAAAGTGAGAAAAAAAGAGAATGCTTACCAAAAGCGAAGTAGGCCCACTTGTAACGGTTGTCGATAAGGGCACCGATCAGACCAGTGATAACCATAATCTCATCAACCATGATGACCCAAAGTATAGTCGGCCATGGCATGCCAGCAGTCAAAAGCAAGTCGAGGAGCAGCAGAGGCGTAGTGATGAACCAGTCGATGTAACGAGCATAGTAGATCGAACGGTAGTTTCCTGCTACCTTGGGGTCGCTGCGGTGGAACTCGACTGCGATTGGTGTAAAGCCCAGGTTGGATCCCATTGTGACTGTAAGGAACCTTATCAGTATATGGCTCGCGTGTTTATAGTGTGAGGCTTGGAGACTTACAGTAGGCGATGCATGCGACGAAGACTACAGATGCGGTGATGTAGTGGAAAAGACGGTCGCGACGCTGCTTGCGGTAGGCGAGACCTAGGAAAACAAATCCGGAGAATCCCATCGCAGCGCAAATAGCGAAGTAGAAGTCGGATCCATGTGTTGTGATGGCAATGTCTGCCGTTGCACCGTTGACGGTGTTGTCTATTACATGTTAGGAGGATGTCCAAAACACATCAAATCACCCAGGGAGGGAGATATACCATTATATTGGAGCACGTTGTTTCTACGAGCGAGATCCATTGCGAAGAAGGTTGTCAATTGCAAAATTGATAGCACAGGATGGAGATGTACCAAGAGAAGCTTATCGCAGCCATGTGGCTGCAAGCTCTGGGTTATATCTTGGAAGCCAGCCCACGAGATCCAAACATGCCGTCATGACGACATATCTCGCGCGCGGGAATAGAGCTTGATCATGCACATGTTCGAAACCTCGAATCGAGCAAGGGCCACGATCGCTGGACAAACAAGTAACGACCAGTCAGAACCATGCGCTACAGTTTAGCATTGCCGGTTTCTGATTCCTCAATGGCTGAGATCACTGACCACTTGCAGCTTCTCGGTGTAATAGAGATGTCACACTATGCTCATTACCGACGCTAGAGATTCTGAGCATAGCGCCCGGGCTTTCCGTCCCACCTCTTGAGTGGAGGGCCACTAGGATTAAGCTTTATGACGTCGATCTGTTAAGCTTACTTTGACATCGACTTGCGTCAATCGCATGTCCGCTACTGTTAGGCTGGCCTCGATTTTACGGTCTGTTGAGGTCTGCTGGTGTTGACACATGTATTTCGACATGGGAACGCGTAAGCATAGTTTTCAAATGTGCCGCATAACGGGAACGATTGCGGGACAGTTGATCATTACCGCATCGCATGGTGGTGTGATCTTCTTGTGCACTTACTGCCCAGGCAGGCATCGATCCAGTCGGTGTTTTTTTACGTCAGTGCGATTGAGAGCGTTAGATATGCTTGCTGCAGGATCGACCGCTACGGCAAGGATCGGCACATACAAGCTTTCGTCAAAGCGGGGCGAATCTAGATTCTACAGCGTTGCTAGGGTTGTGCCTCACTCCACCAAAACAACGCACCGCATGTGTGACAAGTCTTGTTTGAATGCTTTGAATATTAATTAAATCTTGCTAAAAAGACTTCGTAGAGTACGTAAAATGGTGGTAGCGTTTAAGTCGCGAGTCCAACCGGTTTATTAGACATGTGGTCCAAACACACAGGCGCTGCTAGCCCAAATAACTAATGAGAGATTTCCGCAGATTGCTCGATCCCGTCTCAGACTGCACATCCGACTCGGATCTCACTGTCGCGACTTCTCGCTGATGAGCGATATCTTCCTCAGTGAACCAGTTTCCGTGTAGGCCGTAAGGTATCCTAGTCCCAAGTTGAATCTTGCAAATGACAGTCTGCATGTCGCTTGCATCCAAAACCCACAACTCGCTCTCTGCATCTGCTTTGCATTCTCCGTTCTCGTCTAGCTGGTCTTCGTTGAAGACATAGAAGAGTAAATAACCTTCTTGTTCGGTGGCGCCAGCGCCATCATCAGCTTCAGCCTCCTTCGTCTTACGAGGCACGAATCTAGCTTCTTGGCCAAAGTGATTCAGCGGAAGTTGGAATGCTTTTATGGGATCGTTGTGGTCGTTTGACGCGAGTATCTCATCAATTGAACGGTTGTCAACACAACCGTTGACAGCCTGTGGAGGTGATTGCTGAGCGCGTCTGAGTAGAGTCTGTACATCTACCCTAACAAGTATATCGATTTTGGTCGCCTTGCCTAATGCCGCACCGAACGATTCATCTGAAGTGCTACATCCATAAATGTATCGTGCGCGCGACATTTCCGTGGCAGGATGTATGGTGGGAAATTCGAAAGGAATGGCTGCTAATGCAAACTCGTGAGTGATGGTGTTAGACGAGCCCGGAGCGAGTGAGAACCGGTAGTAATACAATCGACATTGTTCTTCGTCGTCGTATGAGATGGGGATGTTATGAGGCGCCCTTGATGACTCTGGCTCGTTGTGTTGTCCCAGCAAAGGCGACGTGTCGTCTAGGAAAGGCTTCTCAGGATCTTGAACCTGTTCTTCGTCATCATACTTGGCGAAGAAGGACATGGGTTTACTGCGCACTATCTCCTTGTGATTCGGATGTGGGGGAGGCTCGATGTTGCCAGCACTAAAGACCAAGGATGCAGACGTCAACCGGCAGGCTAACATGCTGACAGCAGAGACACCACCGGCGCTGTTGTACTCATCCCAAGTGTTGGCTGTGTGAAGGATCAAGCAACCGTCTGTCTCGAACCAACGTACTGACTCGGGATGATGTCGGGGAAAGATACCGAACCTAGCGGGTTTCTCGGGCTCGTAGAAGACTATGGGCTTATTCTTTGCCAGGTTCAAAGGAGTAAGGGAGAGTGGCAAGTCGAGTATAACAGTGTTATGTCGGGATACGCCAAAATCATGCATGAGTCGTCCGCCAGAGCATCCAGGGACTGGTGCATTAATGATTCTGCTTTCTTCCGAGCTAGTTCTCTTCGCGACCGAGTTTTCAGCTGGAAGACAAGAATAGTGGACATAGGGTGCAACAAAGTTGCAGTGGAAGAGAACCATCTCGTTAGTCTCTCTGTCAACCTTGGGATGACCCGTTGTCCACTCCTTCATCCAGCTCAGCAAGCCAGATCCACCAAAAGCTTCACGCTTTTCATCGGCATGGGAGTCTCGGTCGCCAGGTGCAGCTTCTCCTTCGGCACGATTTCCGTCAAACCAGCCTACTGTCTCGAGGCTTGGCAACGCGATGCGCATCGGCGGCCCACTCTCGCATGTTGCTAGTGCACGTCCATCGTGATATAATATGCTGGTGTTGGCCACGCTGATTCGCTTGACAGCACGTGCAGAACCCAAGATGTGCGTCCAGAAGACAAGCAGAACAGTACGCATAATGCGCCATAGAATGAGCAGCAAGCTGGATGCTGGATTAACAAGCGTCGCAATGCTAGGCAGAATAGGCGTGCGAAGTGTCGGGTTTTCGACGGCAGTACGGTACACGTCGGTGAGAATGAACTGGTTCACAAAGTTGACAATGGGTTTCGTAGGGTCGGTGAGAGAGCGGCTGAACCATACTCCCGAGAGCATGCCATCGCCGTCGAACCAATGCGCCTCACGTCCCAAGTCGGAGTTGGTCACGGGATTACCGCCGTTGCGGACGTACATGCCGCCCAGCAGCTCTTCTGGGATTCGGCCGGTCCATGAGACGGGCGTGGGAGGACATGTTGTAGTGATGGGCGCAAAGTTGCCAGCGAGGTATCTACAAGGAATCAGTCAGGGCGATGTGTAGATTTTGGGGAGTCAACTAGGAGGGTATGCGTACGGGTGCTTTGGCGTCTTCGACTTGCTGTGCGGTCCAGTCTTGGACATTACGGCGGTGTTATTGTCTTGGCGGCATTGAAAGACGCGTGTGGGTTGGCTCAGGACAACGGCGCAGGCAATTCATTAGTACAGTGGATTTGATCTGTCTTCACATGTCGCCGCGGCGAAAGCGGGACTGTGTCAGGAAGTGGTGGCATGATGCAATAAAGACAAGGCTGCTGCCCAGTTCCACGGGTATCCGGTTGACGTCTGCTCGTGATGGCGGCCAGACAATCGTGATGTCATGTTGAAGCTTGCATGAAGACTAGTCTGTTTTGGGCAGCGCGCATCCTCCATCTCCGCCCGAGCAACGCCGTCTCAACGACATTGCAAATATTCTATCATGGCCTCTTCCGCGCAATCTCTTGTGCCTGACGCCCGCCGCGGCCTAGTCTGTTCCCCTGCAGCATTGGGTCCATGAGTGACGCTGATTGCACATCTCTCCGGCTACTCCCTTCTGTTTACACGGTGCCATCATGGGTTTCGACTACGCGCTCGTGTACGTGACGCGCCCTCTTCCTGCGTTCCACCACTATGGCTGACATTAACGGCTAGTCATCTCAAGTACACGATCCCCCCGGCCGTGGGGCTTACCTGGCTCTATCGCCCTTTCTTCACCAAACTTGACGTGTACAAGGTCGTTTACCTGATATTGGTTGGTACGCGCATCCTCGCCAACACTTCTCGTGCTAACAGGCCAGGTCGCTGTGCTGTCGACCATACCATGGGACTCGTACCTCATTCGCACCGGAATCTGGAGCTACCCCGCTCATGTCATTGTTGGACCCAAGCTGCTGGATATCCCTCTAGAAGAGGTCTTTTTCTTCGTCGTGCAGACATACAACACATCGATCCTCTATCTTCTCCTCAGCAGGCCCACCTTCCAGCCCGTCTACCTCAGCCCTGAACGCGGCGCATCCGGCCATCGATGGCGATACACCAAATTTGCTGGCCAAATCTTCTTTTTGGGCGTGATTGCGTGGGGATGGCGTTGCATCAAAGATGACAGCAAAGGAACTTACACTGGACTCATCTTGATATGGGCCGGCCCGTTTCTGCTGCTGCTCTGGTATGGCAACTATCACTATGCCTTGAACACCCACTAACTGGAAGCAGGAGTCTTGCATACCAATTCATCCTGGCGCTCCCTCTAACCAATACCGCGGCACCCATTATCCTTCCGACACTTTACCTCTGGATCGTCGATACCTTGGCCTTGCGTAGAGGAACATGGGTAATCAACACAGGTACAAAATATGGCGTGCACTTATGGGATGGCCTCGAAATTGAAGAAGCCCTCTTCTTCTTGGTTACCAACTCGCTTATAGTATTTGGTCAATTGGCGTTTGACAATGCTCTTGCAGTGCTATACACCTTCCCGGCGTTATTCTCGAAGCCCTCCCTGCTCCCATCACCCATGGTCTTGATGCGCGCTTTGCTCACTTCATGCTCCAAGTACGACGATGCGCGCCTTGTAGGCCTTGGCGAGGCTGTGCATCGTCTCAAGCGAAAGAGCCGTAGTTTCTACCTCGCCTCCGCAACGTTCCCTGGACCTTTACGGGCGGATTTGTTGCTACTCTACTCCTTCTGCCGCGTTGCTGATGATCTGGTGGACAATGCTTCCTCTGCCGATGAGGCCAAGGACTGGATAGCGAAATTGCGCAAGTTCCTGAATAATACTTACAGCGATTCTGCATCTAAGCCTACTATACAAGCCCAAGTCCGGGAAGACTTTCCGGCCGGCACGCAATCTGCACTCCTACAGCTTCCAGCTGCTAAGCTCTCGCACCAACCGTTGGAGGATCTTTTGCGCGGGTTTGAGATGGACCTT